ACCTCCCCTGGCCCATGCGACCTCCTCCGAAGAGGAGTACGTGAAGGAAACGGAGGAGGTTATCGACAAGGTAAGGAACACCATAACCCTCGAGAAGACCGACCCCAATGTCGCCGCCGCTGTGGCGGAGCTCCGGGAGACGTCCAACGCTTGGGTGGCCAAGTACCGGCGGGAGAAAGCTCTGCTGGGCCGGGCCTCGTTCAGAGACATGTACTCGGCTATAAATGCTGTTTCCGGGCACTACATTAGCTTCGGCCCAACCGCTCCAATCCCGCCTAAGAGGAAGCAGAGGATCTTGGAGGAGATGGAGACTGCAGAGAAGGCTCTGTTGAGGGGAAGGTGAAGAAGAGGCTCTGTTTTTTTTTTTTTCGTTTTCTTTTTTTCCATTTTTGAGGTACATCACATGTTATGTGTATTCTGTGTGATATTTGCTGATGATGAGCTTAATAATAATAATTATAGAGAGATTATTAGATTGATTTGAATCTTGCAGCTTATCTGACGCTTGGTCCAACTTCATCATATAAAGGAGTTGAGTGATTGAGTTTGTTACTAGGCAAATGCTTTAAAGATAATTTGTATTATATATTAAAAGTCATGTTAAGTGCTGAGGAAAAGCATCATTTTACATCTTTGGTAGTCAACAATCCTCTAGTTTTGCTGTTGACATGCTCTTGTACTCAAAAGGACCGATCATGTATCATAAATCTTGTGCTCAATGCTCAATAATCAACACTCATCTTCGTATGTGTTAACCTTATTAGTTTATCAAATACATTAGAAATTTAAAAAATATATATCGTGTCCGAACTAAATATGAAAATAGGGAATGTTTAAGATTCAGTTTACCTTAATACCGTGTCACATACTCCGGTGAACATACATGTGTGTCTACATATATCTCTCTTATCTCTTATTTATATATGAAGGAGTGAAGCCATTTGTGCTGACGACAAGTGTCTATGGTCATAAGGTGGCACGTATACCCTTTTTTTTTGGGACAAATAATGCACTTGGTGTGAAATACTTTTTGTGGACAATATAGTAATTAATATATCCTAATATACATGCACTATTTTATAATTTTCACTCAGCTGCTTTCCATGGAAGCCTTTAGAGCACCCGCAACGGCAATGGGGCGTTTTTCATCCCCGTTTAAATGCCAATTTGGCATTCATCCCCTTGCGGGCGTTCATTATATATGTGGGGCCTATGGTGGCGCTCAAAGGGCTGAACGCCCTTAACTTTTTTTTTTTTTAATTTTTTTTTAAAATGAATCGTTTAATTATATTTTTATTCTTTTATATATTAAATTTATATTTTATCTATATCACACATCCTAATAATGATAAATTTAAATGTTATCTATATCATACTTCATAATATATATCAATAATTTATATTTTATATCTTTCATTCTTTACCTATAACTACGTTCATTTTTACACTTCTCCTACACAAAAAAATAATAATAATAATAATTTAGCAACTGCTCACTTGTGTTAAAGTTATTAATAATCTTAATTTAAGTTATTTTGGTCTTGTGATGTTCTTTTATTTTCATGCATTTAAAAATTATTATTATAATTTAAAAATATTAATTTTATTTTTTATTGAGAATAGAATATAAAAATATGTATTGAATGAGTGGATAATGGGTCACATATATGTATTTAAATGAATGTGTAGGAATGTGGGAGTGTGTTTAAATGGAGAGAGATTTAGTGGAAAGATGATGTGGATGAGAGATAGTGTTACTTTTTGATTGAGTGAATGATATTTGTATTAAAAGGGTTGTGGATGCCCTTATTACCGGATTTTTTGCTGACTGCTGCACGTCTGCCTCTGTACCCATCACTTTTCCCATTTGACTCGATGTTTTGCTGACTTCTGCACGTCTACCTCTGTACCCATCACTTTTCCATTTTCCTCGCACGCCACACCAAAAGAGATTGAAGATGGACCATGTTCAACAATCACCCTTTTCCCTCCTCCATGGCCAAAATCTCTTCAACCGCGTCGCTGTTGAAATCTTATCAGATCTCCCCGACGTCGTCTGCTCCGACTGCAAGAACAACTTCGTCCGTAGATGAGCAGAGCTCTCGCCGCCAGCGAAAAGCCACCATGTCGTTGCGATAAACCTCAGGTCCAATATGTAGGATCATCTGAATTCCACCTCACAAATTATACTTTTGCTATTTTTCTATTTTGTGTTTCTGTAAATTAATGTGTGACGTTGGGCTGCCGATTGATATTCGAGAGAGGAGATAGGACTTCATCTGTAACACCCCGCCTAGACTTACTAAAATCAGAGTAAATTTTCCGCGCTATAAATGGAAAGCACTGATTTAATTTTTGAAACTCATATTATTATTAAAACGCGGGATGCTACTCAACTTTAATCTTATATCTTTATCTCTTTAATCTAACATGCATGGGACCGAGTAACATTCATTCTAGAATTAAGGCCATGAAAATTTACTAGAATTACACATGCATTCTGAAATCCTTAAATACTGAAATACTGTCTGAAATGCTGGAATACTGAAATACTGACATATTGTTCTGAAATTCTGAAACATAGTTCTAAGATGCGGAAGCAAAGATAGTTCGGAAAGCACACACAAGCATAAATAAACATGCAAGGACAAAATATAGTTTAGACATGTTCAAATAACTACATGACATGTTTAATCAAAATATACTGGCTGATGACCACTACCACATATTCGCTTACGCTCCACGCGAGACTCCATCACCTGAAAAATAGTGTAGTATGGAGGCGTGAGCACAAAGGAATCAACGGTGCTCCACCGGGACCGGCACTGAATACTCAACACAATTAATAACAAACTATGAAATCAACATATATATGAATAAACTTTTCTGACTATGGGACTAACGGTAAACCGGTACTCGTGTGTACACTCTGGAGTCCCCTCCCACA